CACACACTCTCTCTCTCTCTCTCTCTCTCTCTCTCTCTCTCTCACACACACACACACACTCACACACTCTCTCTCTCTCTCTCACACACACACACACACTCTCTCTCTCTCTCTCTCACACACACACTCTCTCTCACACACACGCACACACACACTTTCTCTCTCTCACACACACACTCTCTCTCACACACACACACACACACTCACACACACACACACTCTCTCTCTCTCTCTCACACACACACACACACACACACACATCACGTGTGTTACTGGTTCAAGTGAGGAAGCCACATGTGGTACAGCAGCTGCAATCAGAACCATTACTTGACCGAGTCTGTGATAGTCAACTGTCATTCTCCACAACCTGTCTTCTGCACAGGCCCAATAGGAGCACAAAGGACAACGTGGTGGGAACCACCACTCCTGTATCTCTCATGTCCTTGATGGTGGCGCTAATTTCTGCAGTTCCTCCAGAGATGTAATACTGGTTTTGGTTCACTATTTTCTGTTAGAAGTGAATCCAATGGCTTCCACTTGGCCTTTCCAACCCTAACAGCCCTCACTCCACAGGTGAGAGAACCGATGTGTGAACTCTGTCAGCTTTAGTCCATCTACACCAGCGATACACTCTGGAGCTGGGGAGATACCTCAGGGTGAGTTCATGTGGATTTCCAGGACACAGGAAAGTACTGTGGGTGACATTACAACCTCAGAACGGGCAATAACAGCCCACGGCGAGACCAACCACCAACACGGCCTGCTCTCACCGCACACTTCCAGTCCTCGTGCCTCTTGGTCTAGCTGTCCTTTCTCTCTGTTGAAAAGCATCTCTCCTCCCCAACTGCAAATGGTACCATTTCTGCTTCTCATACACTTAGAAGCAGTTTCTCTCTTCCCTGGCTGTGTGGACTCAACTACTGCTGTGCCAGAGTCAACTAACTGATGAACGGTCCAGAGAGCACCATGGCTGAACTGCTCTCCTGTTACATATGGAGTGAAAGGGTCCAAGTTAGAAGGGTGCAGTATTATCTAGTGGGAGACCACGACATTTTTTTTCTTCTGTCTCCTCTTCTTTCCCCCTTTCTTCCCACCCTCTCAGTGCTAACCTAAATGACATACAAAGCAAATAGCCGGGCGGTGGTGGCGCACGCCTTTAATCCCAGCACTCGGGAGGTAGAGGCAGGCGGATCTCTGGGAGTTTGAGGCCAGCCTGGTCTACAAGAGCTAGTTCTGGGGCGGGAACCAAAAGCTACGGAGAAACCCTGTCTCAAAAAACCAAAACCAAAAAAAAAAAAAAAAAAAAAAAGCAGGATATAGACTGTTCCCCCCCGAATTATAGATAATATGCATTCCTGAGATATAAATCATCATCCCTCCATTAGGAAAACTCCCGAGAACTCCATTTGCTAATTAACAAGAAGCCCCCAGTTGATCTGCGTTTGACCCGAGTTCTGATTCCAGACGACGCTCCTAGGAGCCAGGTGCCCAGGTGGTACCCTCTAGGCCCCATTTCTACAGCTCCACCTCACCGTTACACACATGAGTTTTCATTAAGTCATCATGTGCTTCAGGCAGAGGCATGAGGATCCTGCAACGGGGCTTGTACACAGCACATGCTTTGAAACATTTGTCTCACGTATGGCAGTTACAGGACCGATTCTCCATTTACATCTATGGGGCGACTTGGGGCTCTGGACTGTGGCTCTTGCCTACTGTGATGGGCAATTTCAAATGCCAGTCTAGAATCACCTGAAAGAGAGTCTCAATTTGGGACAGTCTGTATATGATTGGCCTTTTAACATGTCTGGGGGAGGGGATAACTTTTGATTGCATTAATTGACAGGGAAAGACCTCGTCCAAAGCAGACAACATTGTTCCCTGGGTTTGAGTCTTGAACTGTGCGAGAGTGGAGAAAGTGAGCTCAGCACAGCATACACACAGTCACTTATTGCTCTCTGCTTCTGACTGAGGATGGATGCTTCAAGAGTCTCCTGCATTGACTTTCCTGCTATGATGAGCGTAGCCTGAACTTTGAGCTACAATAAATTCTTCCCCAAATTGCTTTTGTCAGGGCATTTGATCACAGCAACAGGAAAAAAAAAAAAACTGAGGCTGCTACTTAGAATTGGAAACTGAGCCACAAAGCAAGGTAAAAATCAGGAAAAATTCTGCTGCAAGGCTGCCTGAGGAGGTCCCTGGAGAGGCTTCTATGCAGTAAGGAGGAAAGCGTAGGTTTGTGAGAGCAGCCCAAGTGCCAGCAGGAGGTTCCTGGTGACATCCAGCTCCTCAGCCCTCTAAGCCTTCTAGACAACAGTGAGTCCATCTTCCACCCTCCGATCCTGCCTGGCTCACCTAACGTCTCTGCTTGCACCTAATAATACATGGTGGTTTTGCCACAAAGAAGCTTTGGTTTGGCCTCTGTTCCTCACTAGTCTTCCTCAAGCCACAAGTGCCACTAGCATCCACAGTTGTTCCTTCCTAGGCTGAAGGTTTTCTTTGTGGCCCATCTCCATTTGTTAGCTTCTCTCAGCCCTGGTAATTCATGGGGAGCAGGGGCATTTAAGTGTGTCAACACCTAGAGCTCTGCCCCTAACCTGATTAAAGCAGAACCCCTGAGGGCAGGAGGCAGGCACCAGTACTTTAAAAACTCTCTAAGGAGTTCTTACTGTGTAGCCAGACTTCAGAATCAATCAGTGACTCTAATAAACAGCAAATCCAATAGCTTTTCTGCTTCTATAATGATCCGAGCTAGCGCCGTGTCAATGCCCCTGTCTTATCTTTTTGTGGCTCCTACCTGAACCTCACCCACAAGCACACTGCTATTACACCTATCTCATCAAGGTTCTGAGAACTACAAGGTCCGGCATGATCCTGCCTCTGTGGACCGTTTCACTCTCCCTGTTCACCATGCTGTAGTCTCACTCCAGGCTCAGATCTAGGTACCCTTTTCTCTTCTGCCTGGATATGCCTGCAGACCTCTGCATGCTCTGGCCTGCAGCTTCAGCCACTCAGGTCAGCTCCAACGGCAGCACCACGGAGAGGCCTAATGGGTGCCCCTAAAGCCCGCCACACCTCCTGTTGCTGTCCTGCTGTCCTTACACAATTAGGGATTTTGGTCAGCACTTAATTTATCACTGAAATATGAGGTTCCAGAAGGCAGGGGTTCTGTTTGTCTTATTCTCAGCTATACCTGCTGCTCATGGAAGAATCTTCTGCAGGGTTGGCACCCAGTCAACACAACTGTTCATCTGCCCAGCAGTGCCCAGCAGGGCCCTGCCCATCTTGCTACAGCCGTCCTTGTCCAGTGACTCTGGCCTTGTCATTGTTAAAAATTCCTACAGCCAGACACAGTGGCCACACCTTCAATCTCAGCACTCGGGAGGCAGAGGCAGATGGATCTCTGTGAGTTTGAGACCAACCTGGTCTACACAATGAGTTCTAGAGCTACATAATGAGGCCCTGTCTCGAAAAAATAACTTCTTGGGGCTTTAGACTCTTTACTGTCCTGTTTCTTCTTTCATAACCACAGACACCAAAGGTAAATCCATATTCTGAGTGGTCTTCCCATCCCAACAACCAAATGCTGAGGAGCCACTGCATGTTTTTCTGAACAGGAGGCTCCCGACTCTATTCTCCACCTCCCACCACCAACCTTATTGACTGATAGATACCCTTCCCTGCTTGTCCACAGCAAGCTACACTTCCTCTGCCAGGGCTGCCTTCACTTGTCTTCTCAACAGAGGCATCTTGATGGGAGAGCTGGTACTGGACTGTGCGCTGAGCAGAAGACGTAATTTCTTCCACTGTCTCCAATACAGGGGCATCACACAAACTTCTGAACAAATCCTTAGTTCTTTTAAACTTTTTTATACCTTTGTGTTTGTGGCATTTAAGAACCTAAGCACTTCAGCTCCTCAGGTGCTGATGTTGCACTGTCCTGTAACATCTGTACCAGTCCATGGGCCCCAGCACACAGAGCCTCAGGCTCCGTTCCCTCTGGAGCAGCCACACAGGTAACTGAGCCAGGAAACTACCTTTCCTTGGGAGGGATTAACAATTACTTTCAAGAAGGGGACTGGCTCAGCCCTATGGTCTGTGCTTTGCTTTTCTGGGGCTCACAGAAACTGTGTGTGGCTACTAACAGAAGTTTTTCTTTCCCAATGTAATGGCTACCACCTACATAGCAAGGTTAACACACAGGAGGGATTTACCAAGTTACCTGTATGGTTGTTTCCCATACGACACAATGAGAACAGAAGGGCTTGATATCGGGGTATGAAAACATTCAGGGGCCTCTGCCTCACCTGATATATTTATCTAAGTCACTAAATGGAACAAGTTTTACCCACAATACCCAAAGGTGTCTACCGTCGTGCCAAACAGGCCCGGCCAGTTTTCCATGAAAAGAGGACTCTTTCTTCTCCCTGACTACAAGGTGTCTCATTATGTAGCCCTGGCTGGCCTCGAACTCACAGGCGTCTGCCTGCTTCTGCCTCCCCAGGACAAAAGGTGTGTGTCACCCTACCTAACCTAGAAAAAGAGGAATCTCGTGCAAGCTAAATAAAGGCTAAATGCATGCAGACCCTGAAACTGGCTGGGCTGTCGATCAAGTCGACCCACTTCCATTCTCTCTCTGTCCTCTCTTCCCCTAGAATGCTTTCTGCTCTGACCATCTGGCCAGTCTTTTGGGTTATCTGAATGCATTTCCCAAACAGAGGCTGGGTTTAGCTGGACCCTTGACACAGCAGGCTCAACAAATACATACAGCAGTGTGCAGACAGTGCCATTGAACTTACCCTATACGCTTTAATACAGGTGTTGCCCCCTTCCCAGGTCAGAGTACCAAAAACTCTAACAAGAGGTAGCTCACTTTTCCACCCAGGCCTGGCTGTCCTTCTTTCACATTCCCAAGATCCACAGGAGTTTGCGGGTTATGGCCATGCCAGGGCCAGAGGGACAGAATGTAGGCTGGTCAAAACAAGCCCAGACATACTCACGGGGTCCGTCAGCATGGCCCGGCAGTGTGAGGCCAGGGCCAAGAAGGCCAGCAGGTTGAACACAATTCCGTTGATGATGCTGTACGCGTAGTCTCTGGATGGAATCAGCATGACAAAGAGGACTACAAACTCTGCGTAGAGGACCAGGAACCAGGTAACAATGGCGCAGGCGATGCCACAGCCATCACGGATAAACCACATGGTTCCCGCAGGACCAGGGAAGGGAGGTGGGGCGCACTTCTCTGGCTGGAGGTATTCTGGTTTCCGCTCAATGTCTCGGAAGTGATGGTTGGGGGTCAGCATCATAAGCTATTCTGTCCATACTGGCATCTGAAAGGAAATGTGGTGTTAGCTCAGCAATAAGGAGACCTCCCAAGTGAGCCATGGTGTGTGTGCACAGATCACAAACGCTGCCAAGGGGTGGGAACGAAAAGAGACCACACCCAAGGGCAGCCAGATCAGACAGCAGCACAGCGACAGGAGGTGGGGCTAGAGCCTAAGTCCCCTCGGCTATGAGGGCACCTCTGGGCAAATAGCCCATTCAGTTAAATCTGGGACAGCAAGTGCTGGGGACAATCTCCTGTAAAACAGAGGAGCACTGAACTGGAATGGCTTGTGAGTGACAGGGCAAAGAGGAGAGATGGTGACAGTGTATTCAATGGTTCCTAGTACAAGACACCATTTCCTCACCTGTGAGGCACTGCCCACCAGGGCTGTTGTTTCCAGAGCTAGAGGGCTTTGGGGAGGGGCTCGTGTTGAACATCCTGCATAGCTCACGGCCACGCACAAGCATTCTCTTAGTAAGACATTCTTTCCATTTGAAAAATGATGGGTAAGCAACTTTCTTCCTAAGAGCTACAACACTGACCTTTGGAGATGAAAACTAAGAACTGGGAGATGAACCAGAACAAACAGAACAAAGTATAAGTGTGAGAATGCTAGAAGGAAACCCACTATTTTTATGATTGTTTTGCTTTTTGAGACAGGGTTTCTGTGTATAATAGACCTGGCTGTTCTGGAACTTGCTATGTAAACCAGGTTGATCTCAAATTCATAGACCTACCTGCCTCTGCCTCCAGAGTGCTGGGACTAAAGGCGTGCACTAAGAGACGTAACTAAGAATCAATATTGCACACCTATTCATCCATAATGGACTGCAGGACAGAGAGAGAAGATCTCCTCTGTTCATCTCAGCTGCTAGCTTGTCGTAATACCAACCAGAACCCTCAGTGGGAAACTGATGGCTCAGTCCATTCCTGGGTATAGAAACCATGGAAAGTCACGCGTAGCACAGGTGATGGGCAGGGGAGAGTAAGTCACTCTACAGCAGAAGAAATGACCCTGGCCCCAGTATCTTCTGAAGGCTGTTAGCCCATCCTAACTAACCTCTCTAATTCTCCTTCTATGAGAAAGAGCATCTGGACGGAACAGAGTATGGCCACGTAGAGTGAAATGTTGCTCAGGCTGATCATGCACATAGTTCAGCTCTGCTCCAAATGTAGCACAAAGCTGAAGACAGGTGGGCAGCTCGGTGTGCACCACGTGCCTGTCTAAAGGATCATGGGAGTAACAAGTCAGAGACACTGCTCTCCAGCAGGTACCCAGTGCTGGGGACAGAGTTATGACATACAGAGTAACACAATGTTTTGGTCATCAGCCAGGATTTTCTAGATCAATCTTGTGCTTGCTCTCCAGAGGAGAGTGGCAGGCAGTTCAGTGGTGTTTGAAAAACATACAATCATTAAAAGACGTAAGTTCACTTTCTGAAAACTGAACAGGACTCTATGAAACTACAGACCAAGAGTGTCTGGGGACTGACCTGTGCTCCGCAAATTCTAAAACTCTGAATTCCATCAACTACAACCCACACTCAATAAATAGGACATACGGCACAAGAAGTCAGAAGGCCAACAGAAGAGAAGCTCTCCAGGGACACGCTTATCACCTGTGCTCCACTACGTTCAAGCTCACCCTACAGATGGCCTCTGGTAGCTTTGCATGGCGATGGAGAGTTGCCCAGCAAGGCAGGTGCTGTATCAACATGCAAGCCTCAAGTATTTACTCTGAGTCTTTACAGGAAAGTTGCTGAACTCTAACTGTCAACCACTAAGTAGGAAGCAGACCACCATGACTCAGGTTCCCCTGCACCAGAGACAGTTGGTTACAAAACTCATCAGCCCTCTGACAGCACATCCTCCTGTCATAGATGGGAGGCCACTAAAAAAGAAGTTTCCAGTGACACAGGCAGTTCATTTCATTCTCTTCGGCAGCTGTGCGTTCTCGGTCCTATATGCAACAATGGTGTCAAGGGACACTAAAATTTTGCACGTTGTTTTACTAAGGAATAAGCCCTTCTACACAAGAAAAGTTTCCCAGGCAACTAGGGCTTCTTTCTTCCATTTTTTGCAGGGTAGGGATGGGGAGGGTTGAGACAGGGTCTTGCTATGTAGCCTTGGGTAGCCTGAAACTCACAGAGATCCACTTGCCTCTGGATAGAAAGCATATACCACCATGCCTGGCTAACTGGGACTTCTTTCGAAGCACCTGTCAATCATTTCAATCGTTAGATGGAAATCTGAAAACAAAATGTGAAAAAAGAAACAGCAGAGATCGAGTGCACACTAGATGGGAATCCTGCTCCTGCCTCAGCACAAGAGCGACTCACTTTCCCCAGGACGACTGAGTTAGTCCCAGCCACCAGCAACCTGTGCAGGCCCCACAATCCCAGCATCTCTTTTGCACGGCCTCTTCCTCTTCTGTAACTAGCCACTGTCACTTCTGTGTCTACACAGCACTCTGGTTATTTCAGCAAGCGGGCAAGGCTAGTAAAGATATTACTAGAGGTCTCTGTAAAGGAAGGGTGCTCCTCTGGGGTGTAAGTTTCCTTCAAGGACTCCCCTGGCACCAAACAGCCCCTCGGTACATGTCCTTACTTGTCAACGAAGAACTTTGTAATCCCAGGGCCACATCTAGGAGGCCTAGTCTGCTTCTTTTCAGGTGAAAAGGATAGATCAAGTAGGATCATGAAACTAGAATGTTCTAACTGAGACCGATCTGGGATCAAACAGTGTATAGGGGGAACTATTTTCTAGCCTTTGCTGGGAACAAGAAGCTGCTGGATGTGGAAGATCAGGAAAAGGCCCTCCTGGCAAAGTCAGGGGCCAGTGCTATGCTGAGGGTAGCTTTCCTACCCACACCCAAGAGTGCAAGCAAGATTACAGTTCTAATAACGACCCTTTTTGTATGGTATTTTGTTTGTATTCTGACAAAGTTAGCCTGGAGATCAGAGAGCAGAGCTAGCCACTAGTTAACCACAGAGGCCAGGCAGTGGTGGCACATACCTTTAATCTCACTTGGGAGGAGGAAGCAGGAAGATCAGGAGTTCAAGGCCACTCTGGGCTGCACAAGATTGAACCAGTCTAAAAGAGAAACAGACAACGAGGTAGAGGCTCACACTTTTGATTCCAGCACTTGGGATCTCAAGCCTTTGCTCCCAAGTACTTGGGAGGGACATGCCTCCTTTAAGCCCAGCACTAGGGAGGTGGGATAGGAATATAAGGCTGGCAAAAACAGGATCTCGGGTCCTTCAGTCTGAGGATTCATGGAGATATGATCTCCCCCATTCGGTCTGAGATTTCACATAGGAAAGAGCTAGTGATGGTTGCTCTGCTTCTCTGATCTTTCAGCTTTCACTCCCTAATATCTGATTCCAGGTTCCTATTTAATAAGACTAATTAGATTTGTGCTTCAGACCCTCCCTTTAACTAGATAAATGAACTGCGGCAAACCCCCTGCTTCTGCTTCAAAGGGGCTTAATGTAAAAAAGGTACGCGTGTCCCCTTCTGCTTCTTCCAATACCAAAGGCAGATGAAGACCCTTCTCTCTTACTGCAGTTAACCTTACAGCTCAACAGAAACTGACAAGGACCTACCTCCCCTTACTTGTCCTTGCTTCTAAGGAGCCTGCAGAACTGGTGCTCAGGTTGGAGAGGCTCTGGAGGACCACCCCCAACACCACTCCTTGCAGGCCAATGAGACCTTCAGAGGAATTACCTCCTCTGGGGTCCCCTCCTAGTCCCTTTATCCTTCTCCTTGCCTCAAGTCTCCTCTCTTCAACTCAACTCAGCATTATCTTGAAGGAGTAGCCACTGTACTGTACAGCATCCGCCTGCCAACTCCCCTGGGATGTGAGGGCAGGAATGTGGAGACCTGTTAAAGAACGTTTATAAACCATATTTGGGAACATGGGCGCAGTTTTTTATGATAAAGATTAAAATAAACAGAGAATTTTGATACTGTATGCTATTATGCTCTCTTTGAATTATTTGAATGCTGAGGAAGGAGCAACAGATGCCAAAAGATATTTGTTTATAAATGCTGCTGAACTAATCCAACATAGATATTTTGAAAATGCCTTGAATTTGAAATTTGGATCTAAGGACATGATGCTTTGGAAAGGAGTTTCTTATTTTGTTTTCACAGAATGAGACCCTGTTCATTTCTTCTATTCTGATTTGGTATGATGGACCACGCCCTTCTGAAGGGTTGGTGTGAACACCTTCAGAAAATTGCTGCTTCGCTCAACTGCCAACTGAGATGAAACTAGCACACAGGTTATACCATGAAAGACCTAATTAACGACGCCCCCATTCAGCAGGAAGCAGTTTGGAGAGAAAAAACTGCGCCCATGTTCCCAAATATGGTTTATAAACGTTCTTTAACATTTAAAGGGGGATATGATATAGATATGAATAATTTGTATTAGTATAGATTTTGCTTTATTGATAGGGATTTAAGGTCAATTTTGTTATATGTATATGCATATTTTTGCTATTGATTAAGATATCGTGATTGTGTAGTTCATTAAAAAATGTAATGTATAATTAAGAAATAGGTTAATGGATAATCATCAGTAATGGTCAAGCTTGTAGTCATGTTAGTTAGATTTTCTAGATATATAGAGATACATTTCAGTTAGATAGACATTCTTCATATCTTTCAAAGACTGCAGAATATGGCATTTAATGTTTTAATAACTTAGGACTTTTCATGACAATGAGACACTCTGCTCCTGGCAGCACCAATCTACTTCAAGAGGAAAATGGGCATCAAAGAGGATCCTTATGGAGTTTGATAGCCATTTGGGCAAGAAACTGTTCTTGCCTGGACTATTGCATAAACTGGACACAGAGAACCCACAGAGAGAGGACTACTGAACTTGCCTAAAGGTGAGATGATCTTTCGGGGTTCCTGATTCATGAAGGAGTCTGCAAGACATTCTGCAGGACACAACAGATAGTGACTGAACTGACTTTGAAGTGTCCTGCTTCA